GGAAAGGAAGAGTGGTGTGAGCTGAGGTTGCAAAAGTTGGGTATCGGGTAGGGCCTTGTAGGCCCCATAGAAGCTTTTAATTTTATTCTAAATGTTTAAGCAAGGAGTCACGTGACATGGTTCATTTTATAAAAAGTTCACCCTGACTGCTGCGTGGAGGATGGTTTGGGACAATAGGTGGGACAGGAGTGGAAGCATGGAGACCAGTAAGAAGAGCACTTTAGTAGTAGATGAGAGATCCTACAGCTTGTAACTAGAAAGATATCAGAGGAGACCAAAGAGGTGGACGTGTTGTAATTTGTGAGCGAGAGCTCCCGTAGGTGTGGATGGATTGGGAGAAGGGAGGCAAATCAGAGATGATGCCCACATTTTTGGTGTGGGGAATGTTGGTGCTGCTTACCGATGAGGAGACTGGGAGAAGGACAGATCTGGATAGAAATGAAGAGTTGCTGTTTTGACCATGTTAAGTTTGAATAGAAAGGGGGTAAATAAAAGTAGAAGGGGGAGAAATCAGGATTCAGAAAAAATTGAAAGATAATTGCTGTTTGGCTTAGATTCTTTTCCTATCGGCTCTTTTTTTTTCTCTGTGAGCTTGGTATATATAGCCTTTGCTGTGTTTTATATTAATTATTCAAAATGAGTGTCAAATGTTGCTTTTTCTTTGGATTTGATTTAAGATCCTTTTTATTATTTATTTTTTAGAGATTTATTTTAGAAAGAGAGTACGCCCATGCACAAGTGGGGGGAGGGGCAAAGGGAGAAACTCAAACAGACCCCCTGCTGAGTGCAGAGCCAGATGCAGGGCTCCATCCCATGACCCCGAGATCATGACCTGAGCGGAAATCAAGAGTCAGAAGTTTAACCGACTGAGCCACCCAGGCACCCCTAAGGTCCTTTTTAAAAAGGGTCTAGAAAAGTTGTAGTCTAGAATATCGGCATAAGGATTATTTTTATGACGAATTTATTGGCTTAGCACAGGTTTCTTTATTTTTTTTAAAAAAAGATTTTATATTTAAGTAATCTCTACACCCAGTGTGGGGCTCGAACTCACAACCCCGAGATCAAGAGTTGCATTCTCTGGGCGCCTGGGTGGCTCAGTTGGTTAAGCATCTGCCTTCGGCTCAGGTCATGATCCCAGGGTCCTGGGATAGAGCCCTTTGTCGGGCTCTCTGCTCAGTGGGGAGCCTGCTTCTCACTCTCCCTCTGCCTGCCGCTCTCTCTCTGTCAAATAAATAAATGAAATCTTAAAAAAAAAAAAAAAGAGTTGCATTCTCTACTGACCGAGCCAGCCAGTTGCCCCAGTTTAGCACAGGTTTCTTTAAAATCTTTTTCTATTTCAAATATTTACTGGTGATAAATAAAAAACACAAATTAGCAAGGAACTGAACAATGCAGATCATCTTTAGTCATGTTGCTCAGAGAAAACCATTATTAATACCTTAGTGTATATTCTTCCAGTCTTTTATTATAGTCGTGCATACACTTGTGCATACACACATATACAAATAAATATTAAATACACTATTTTGAACTGTGGAACAGTTCCAAAAAGTAAAAATTAACATTAACATTCACCGCTTAATTGAGAAAATATATGAAATGGGTTTGAGTTATGTGAGGTACATATAATAGGGTATCAAAATTAATACGGTTTTTTTGCAGTCTGGAAAATCCCTTGAGGGAATAGTAGTTTGGCCTTTAGTTTAGTAATTAAATTTGCAGAAAGATAGCCCAAATAACATTGTCTGTGACAGTAATATGTGCTTTTCTCTGCTTTTGTGAAAAAGGTGGAAATGACCTTCCACAGCATGCAGACATCAGGGCCTTTTTAAGAAAGTAAGTTATAGATCTGTTGTGGAGATTAGCACTGTTTATCTCCTTTCCGTTCAAGATACATACCTACATGTGGGCCAAAGTGCAACTGGTAATCAGTGTTACTGTGAGTCATTGGTTAAATTATATGTTCAGTAAAACCTATTTAAGACATCAGGAAAAACTCACTGTATATTTTGGAAAAGGTAACAGAGGGAGACATGTAAGATACGATTTGGGGTCATTTTAAGGATTAAATCTTTGGTATTTATGAAAATTCCTTTATTCTTATAGAATATTTATTACTTGTTATTTGGCTGACATGCCACCAAAGTACTTCATTCTCATTTGGGAAGCCAGGTTTTTAGTAGGAATTCTTTTCAAAGAGAACATTTATTGTATGAGCATTGCCATGAGAAGCAAGAGACGGTGTTTCATCTTGTTTATTGGGTGAAAGTCATTCAACAATGTTTTTACTGCCTGCCTAAGCACAGTCAGTGCTCTACGAAAGTTCCGTGGCTCCGCTATTGTTTTAGAGTAATACAGTTGAGTGGCAAAATTCATCTTTCATAAATTCAATATAAATTATTTAAAAGCAAATAAAGAGGTGCCTGGGTGGCTCAGTCAAGTGTCTGCCTTCGGCTCAGGTCATGATCCCAGGGTCCTGGGATCGAGCCCCGCATTGGGCTCTCTGCTCAGCGGGGAGCCTGCTTCTCCCTCTCCCACTCCCCCTGCCTGTGTTCCCTCTCTCGCTGTCTCTCTCTGTCAAATAAATAAATAAAATCTTTAATAAATAAATAAATAAAAGCAAATAAAATGTACTGAGTATTGTGTGCCATCCACTTGGCTGGATGTTGGGTATAAAAATGAGTGAGACATGTTCCCTATTATTAGGGAGATTTTTAGTCTTTATAGTTTAATGAGAGTGAAGGGCCAGTAGACTTATTATAAAATGAAGTGATTAGAAGTATGTTTAGGGCCCCTTGGGAACAGAAGGAGCGTTTAATTCAGACTGGGGAAATGAGAAAGGCTGTGTCTTGAAAGATGATTAGCAGCTAGGGGGGTAAGGGGAGAAGGGATGTTATTATCGGTATGTGTACATAGAGGAGGTGGAAACAATGTTTTTTTTTTCTTTTCTGAAACTGGTGGTGAGTTGGGTGTTCACTGTATCTATATCATCTGTATGTCAGACGACTTTACTAAGTTTTTTAATCATTAGGCTTTGGAGTTGATTTATGGATGCTAATAATAAAATATGGTGAAAGTAAGAATTTCTTATTGTATAGAAACTAGAGGCAGAAGTACTGTAAGTGAGAAATAAAAGCAGGTGAGTGAAAGTAAGTTTATATATTATTTGCCTTTTAGGGATAAGTTTTCATTTTGAGAAAGCATTTGTACTGCTTGGAAATTAAGATTCCTTTTTAAAGATTTATATCTAACCATATGTTTTCTCTTCCTGGTTTTCAGTCTCAAGATAGATTTGTTGTTTAGGAATGTTCTGTTTTTAATCCTTTGCTTTGTTGTATGCTGCTGTGTACAAATAGGTGTTTCATACTTTCTTTTTATTTTGATGAAAGCGTTTTCTTTTCTTTCTTTTTTTTTTTTTAAAGTAAGCTCTATGTCCAATGTGGGGTTCGAACTCAACAACCCCGAGATCAAGAGTCATATGCTCTACTGACTGAGCAAGCCAGGCGCACCATTGCTGAAAACACTTTCATTATGGGCTATTAATTTTTTTTTAAACTCATGCTTCTTGAGGGATGGTTACCATTTAAAATTTGTGATTTCTTTGGAAGTGTTTTTGTTGTTGTTGTTTAGTTTAAGTTACAGACCACATTATTCGGATTAAGATTTAAAGATTATATATAAAAATTTAATGTTTCTAAGAACAGATTTTGATCTTGCTGTTCTATGATAAATGCTTAAGAAAATAGTCATGTGTAATTATTTTTCTTTTTTCAGCCTTTCTAAGAAAAGTCTACAGCATCCTTTCTCTGCAAGTTCTCTTAACTACAGTGACAGCTTCTTTTTTTTTATACTTTGAGTCTATACGGACATTTGTCCATGAAAGGTAAGGTGATGATTCTGAAACATTTTCAGCTGCTGCTTATGATCAAAAGGCCATATTATAAGCAAAGTTCTTTTTTTTTTTTCTATTAACTTCTGAGGTTAGAATGTAAAAAAGGTTCATTATTAACTCATAAATAAGACTAGTTTTGTTTTGATAAGAAAAATGTTCTTCAATATGGTATTTACCTCTGAACTTTTTAGCTTATAGTTTTGTAGGGTTAAACCTTCATCTCCTCAGATATAAGAATTTTTACTGTATGCAGCTTTTTAAAGTTTTTTGGTTTTTTTTTTTTTTTTGCTTTTATTATATCTATGCCTAGTCCCCAAAGCCTAAGACAGTGCTTGAAAAATAAAGGTACTTAATAAATATATGTATCATTTTTCTTAGTGTTGGCTCATGACTAGGATAATTTCACTGGGAATTTTCACTGAGAAAAGGAGCTTTATATGGCTCATCCCTAATTTGTTTAAGATCTGACCTCCAAAATAATTATTTCCATGGCTAAAAGTTATATAGGTTTTGTATATTAAAGGAAAAATAAGGGATGAATATTTTCTTGGAAGTAGACAATTTTATCATCCCTCCCCCTACAGAAAAAATGAGTTTGCTATTTGGGGTAGAGTTCTTTAATTTAGATTACAGCCATATAGTAAATGTATATAAAATTTGCTTATTGTTTAATAGCTATTCTTTATTGTATTTCTGTTAAAAACAGTATGCTAATTGCAAAAATGATTCAGATATGCTCGAAGTTCATGAAGTAAAAAGGAAAAGTCTTCCTCATTCATTGTGGGCTCTTTTCTTTGTCTTGCTGCTCCTCCCCAGCTCACACTCCTCAAATTCCCTGAATAGAAAAATCATTTGTTTTGACAGTTTGGTGTGGTTCCTTCCAGATTTCCTTTTCTTACTTTCACAAACAAAGAAAATAGACAAATTTTATTAAATGGGTTAATACTATTTATACTGTTTCTAAACTTAAAAATGCTTTTAATTTTGTCTTTCAGTCCTGCCTTAATTTTGATGTTTGCCCTTGGATCTTTGGGTTTGGTTTTAGCATTGACTGTAAACAGACATAAGCATCCCCTTAACCTGTACCTGCTTTTTGGATTTGTGAGTATTTTGACAGTATCTGTTACTTTAACATTTATTCCTATGTGTTAACTTTATTATTTAATTGAATGCAAATATGTATATAATAGCAGAATGAAGTTAATGTTTTTAATAAGTTCAATAAAGTTGAACTTTAATAAGTTCATTAAGTTTCATAAGTTTATAAGTTTAATAAATTACAAATAATTTTAGAATTTTTTTTTTTTTTAAAGATTTTACTTATTTGTTTGAGAGAGAGAGATTGAGAGAGAGAGCACATGAGAGGGGGGAGGGTCAGAGGGAGGAGCAGACTCCCCGCAGAGCAGGGAGCCCGATGCGCGACTCGATCCTGGGACTCCAGGATCATGACCTGAGCCGAAGGCAGTCGCCTAACCAACTGAGCCACCCAGGCGCCCCTAATTTTAGAATTTTTAACATTTGTCAGTTTCAGATTTTTTTTTCCCCTGTGACTATTATGGTATAGTGGAAAAAATCGTGAAGTGGAATCTCATGACCTGGCTTTGCCACTTTCTGGTTATGTGACATTTGGCAGGGTGTTTAGCCTTTCTGTACCTAAGTCTGCTCATATGTAAAATGAACACATTGAAGTGGATTATCTCTGTGATACTTTGGACCCCTGATCTCTGATTTTCTTAGGAAAAAATTATAGCCTTAATTTCATAGACCTTAAGTTAAAATCTTTATGATTAACTCCTCATTGTTATTTTTTATCTTAGTACTTTGTTCTTTTAAAGGACCACTTTGCTCAATTGATGTGCTCTACTAATACCTTTTAATATCATAAGTCGGGAACTTTAGCTCATGTTTGTTTAGATGTTTCTAAAAATGAAAACCCAAACTACTACCTATAAAAACCCAGTCCTATAATATGACCAGAATAAGTTGGTAAGGCTCAAGTCATATGTTTCTTAAATTATTTTTCTTGCTCTCTTATCCAGTATGACTTTGGGTTCTAACCAAAAATTTACTTCAGAACATTTCAAACTAATATTAATAATATTTATAGTTAAATAAGAGTGAAAATGCTATTTACCAGATTCAGTTGCTTTAAACTAAAGAAAGTTTGTGAATTCTGGTAACAAGTTTATGTTAATATGATGAAAGAAAAGTCATGGCTTCGGAAATTTCAATTACAGGAAAGGTTCTTCATTTAAATCTTAGGTTCTTTTGTTTCCTGAGTACTGTTTTAGGGTGGTGTTACATTTTCCTAGTATTATCTTTTCTCCGGTTCATACTCTCCTGTTTCCTTCGGATACTTGAGTATGGGGTAGGATTTCTTACCTAAAGTCATGTCACAAATATCAAGAGTGAGGTGTAATCATGTTTTTCCAGAAAAAAATATTTCCGTCCTCTTTGGCTACCACTTCTCTGACACTGCCAGCAACATTATGACAAAATGTGGCAGTGCCTTCATTGCCTCCACATCTGTGTACCATTTCTAATGCCATTTTTGCTCTAGTTCTGATAGGTGTCTTGATTTCAGGTGGGGAGAGTTACAGGGAGTGCTTCTACCAAGAGTATGAGTATATAGCCACTGATGTTACTTCTGGCTTTGCCTTTGTGATATGGTCTATCAGATAGTTGGTAAAATCTAACAAGTGTAAGCATTTATTTATTTATTTTTTAAAGATTTATTTACTCATTTGAGAGAGAGCCCGAGAGTGAGTGGGGGGAGGGGCAGAAGGAGAGGGAGAGAGAGAGAGAATCTCAGACTCCAGGCTCAGGGTAGAGCCCGAAGTGGGGCTCCATCTCAGACCCTGAGATCACGACCTGAGCTGAAATCAAGAGTCGGACGTTTAACTGACTGAGCCACCCAGGCGCCCCTCAAGTAAGCATTTAAAACAAAATAAAGGAGGAGCTATGCCGCCAACCTCCGTTGCCACCGCCGTCGCCACCCGCGTTGCAGCCGTGCCGCCCTACACCGTTGTCTACTTTCCGGTTCGAGGGCGCTGCGAAGCCATGCGCATGCTGCTGGCTGACCAGGGCCAGAGCTGGAAGGAGGAGGTGGTGACCAAGGAGAGCTGGCTGCAGGGCCCGCTCAAGGCCTCCTGTCTGTATGGGCAGCTCCCCAAGTTCCAGGACAGAGACCTCACCCTGTACCAGTCCAATGCCATCCTGCGACACCTGGGCCGCCCCCTTGGGCTGTCCGGGAAGGACCATCGGGAGGCAGCCCTACTGGATATGGTGAACGATGGTGTGGAGGACCTTCGCTGCAAATACGTCATGCTCCTCTACACTAACTACGAGGCAGGGAAGGAGGAGTACTTGAAGGCAATACCAGGGTACCTGAAGCCTTTTGAGATGCTGTTGTCCCAGAACGAGGGGGGCCAGGCCTTCATCGGGGGCAACCAGATCTCCTTCGCCGACTACAACCTGCTGGATCTGCTGCTGATTGATCAGGTCCTGGACCCCAGCTGCCTGGACTCCTTGCCCCTGCTCTCGGCCTATGTGTCGCGCCTCAGCATCTGGCCCAAGCTCAAGGCCTTCCTGGCCTCCCCCTGAGCACGTGAACTGCCCCATCAATGGCAGCCGGAAACAGTGAAAGCTTGTGGCAACCCCCGTGGGAAGCGGGGGCAAACTTCCTTCCTTTCTCCAGGACCAATAAAATTGCTAAGCGAGAAAAAAAATAAATAAAATAAAACAAAATAAAGGTATGTAGTTAAGGAGAAAGAGAAGCTAGAGGATAAAACTCAATATCCCTAAATCTTTTATTTGGGATATGAGTTCAGCTACATGTGACATGGGTGAAACAAGATGGTTTGCTTCTCTTTCATGTAAAAATCTGTGTGACTGTGTAGTGAAGTTGTCAGGGGCCCAGGCACCTGCTATGGTTCAAGTACTCCTAAAGTATCGTATGGCATAAGAAAGCTCACCACCATATCCACATTCCATCCAGTTATTTAAAAAAGTGAGAGGAGAAAAGGGAGAGCAAGCCCCTTTGCTTTTAGTGTTTGTACGCCTCTCCACTTACATTCTTTTGGCTAGAATAAAGTCCTATGACCAGATCTAGGTACAAGGGAGGCTGAGAAATGTATTGTTTAATCTGAACAGCTAGCTATATGTCCGGGTAAAAAGTTCGTTAATAGGGAAGAAAGAGAGAATGAATACTGGGAAACAGTTTCAGGACTGCCACACTAAAGTGCTACGTAAATATTTTATTCTTCCTGTGTTTGTGTGTGATATTGAAGTTTTATGAATGTGCATATCATTTGCAATTTCATTTTTACTTACAGAGAGTGAGAAAAATGGAATTTCCCATACTATTTCTGTATCTTCCTGTTACAAATATACAAAATCTAGTTAGGGTTTAAAGAGTGATAGGATCACTATGAGAATCTAAGTCTTCTCACTCAATACACTGAGGTCTCATTTTCATTATGGTAGGCTTATCATGTGTCCCATGTAATTCACAAGGCTGCTCTGAAGCTAAAAAGAGATCATGTATATGGAATCACATGGGATTCTTAGAAATTAGAACATGTACATGACATAGTGTCAATTTTATGTGCATTTATGTAATTTTAGTTTCTTTTTTTAGACACTATTCGAAGCTCTGACTGTGGCCTTTGTTGGTAAGTCATAATTGTGCTTCTATGTGTTAAAGTCACGTGTTAATGTAGATAAATCTTTTGAGTTAAAAGGTGTTTGGAACTAAAGCTTAACATCATGGGATGTCATATTTCAAATATATAGTATAGGATGAAGAATTTGTAAAATATAAGCCAAATTAAATGTTTATACTTTATATAGTTCAACTAAGCTTAGAGGAAGTGGAAAAGAGTTAGGAAAACAATGGGAATGAGAATAATATTCATATATGTTTATCCATTTATAAAAACAAGACAACTGTAGCTAATCTTTTCCCCCCTAATTTAGAGAGATCTTAGAGGAACTGATAAAATATATTTTGAGCAATGTATTATCATTATCACATGAGCCAAGCCTCTCAAATTGCTGCACTGAGCTGTGCTTTATTATTATAACCCCATATTTCATCAAATGGCCCCACAAGAAACTTGGTAATTTCTGCTTTATCTTAGATGTTAACTATGTCTTTGAAAGGAAGTGTCTGTTATAATTATTTGATGCATGTAATGCCTCAAGTAAAAAATTTCATGATTTATTGACAATAAAAATTCAGATTGTCTCAAAATGATTTACCTGGGGTACAAAAAAGGGTAGGATGAACTATTACTGTCAACCGTAAATTGTTAATTATTATGTTTAATATACTTGTCTTTTGTCATTACTGCTTTTAACCTTTCTATCCCAGTTTTATTGAATCTGTATATTGTTTGGTAATTCACTTCTTCCTTTTGTAAAGGAATCATAATATAAGTAATAATAGCTATTAAAATAAATAAAATTGAAATTTCTCAACATAGAAAGGAAGTATTAATATTTACTTATTATTGTTACTGTCTATTAATGTTATCATCAAGTCCATCTCTGTCCTCCTTGGCTCCCACCATTTGTAACAGATGTAGGAGAGAGATCTCTTTCAGGGTTATTGGAATTGGGGGTAGAAATACATAGATGGAACATTATTTTCCTCATTAATTATAATATTCTTTCTACCTAATGTTACACTGAAATTGTTGACAAGCAAAATAATCTCATGTTTTTTCATCTCTGCATTCACTTTCCTAATCCTGTAGTGATAGAGAAATTCCGGTAATGTAGCATTTAGGAATAGAAATTAATCCTTGAAGAATTAAAAATTACTTAAATGGTTTTGGGTTCAAAATACTTAACTTCCTTTAAAGGGGTTAGATTTAGCATTTTGTTAAAATGCTAAGCAGTTGTATTACAATTACAATAGACACAGTCAATCTAGATGTTCATTCTAAAAGTTCAGAAGGGAATTTGGTATGTATTCAGAAAACCCCCAATTATGTATTCATTGTATGCATTTTTGGGTGTAAAGCAATTAGTGGTTGGTTCCTGTTCTCTGCAGGGTTGGTGAATGGCAGACAACCCCAGACGGTCCCAATATTTTTCTTGCCTAGTTTCTTTGATTGGACTGGTGAACTGGGTATGCAATTAACCAGGTGATTGCTAAAATTGCTGCTACTGCCCAGAAATTCCCAGCCAGCCACAGGACCCAGAGTCATCCCTATTGATATTTAAGTCATAAAGAACCATCACCACAGATGGTGATAGAACTAAGCTGGGACAGAGATAGGTGAGAGTCATTCTACCATATCCCTCAAACTCCAAACCCACTAGCTCTCCAGTCATTTCTTTAGCTTCATAATGATGTGACCACCTTATTTTTTATGAATGACTGTTTATTGCAGTATGGGTATGGTTTTACTGTACCAGTATTAAAGGCTAAATAAAGAATCTTTTCATAATTATTTTTATTGGCAAGTAGTACAGGGGAAAAATAGCATTTCTGTTAAATGCCAGGAAAAAAAAGCTGTTTTATATAGAGTATGTTTAAATGCATTTTAATCAGTGTTTTTTAATTTTACAGTTACTTTCTATGATGTGTATATTATTCTCCAAGCATTTATACTGACTACTGCTGTATTTCTTGGTTTGACTGTATATACTCTACAGTCTAAGAGAGATTTCAGTAAATTTGGAGCAGGGTAAGTTATATATTCATGGTTATGATAGATAAATATCTTTAACATTATAGGTCATCTTAAGAGAAGTGCTATACCTTTAACTTTGGATATTGTCTTTTAAAATGGAGGGTGATGAGGGGCACCTGAGTGGCTTACTCGGTTAAGCGCCCAACTTGTGATTTTGGCTCAGGTCATGATCTCATGGGTCATGAGATGGATCCCCGAGTAGGGCTCTGTGCTCAGTGGGGAGTCCGCTTGGGATTCTCTCTCTCCCTCTGCCCCTCCCCCCTCTTGCGTGCTCTCTTTCACTCTTGTGTGCACTCTTTCAAATAAATAAGTAAATCTTTTAAAAAAAAAATAAAAATAAAATGGAGGTTGATGAGAGGACATTTCTCTGAGTACTAACTAAAGCCAGGCTCTACACTTCCAGAGCATACAAGGAGATGGAAAGTATCTTTGAGTCATTTGCTTCTGCTCTATATTGAAAGCAAAGGGAATGCCAGCTCCGCCCCTCCCCCCCCCCCCCCCCCCCCAGTTTTCTAGAGAGGCTAGGCTTGTATGCTCTATGAATGCTATAGAACTTACCTACATTATTTAGGTCTTTGTCTTAACATAAATGTTACCAAGACCATCCACTTCTTTGTGGCAAAAACAAGGTAAATGACCCAGGTGTTGGTGATATCTGCATAAACTTTAAAAACTTTTTGACCTATCTTGATTAACCTGTATCCTTCTTCAAACTAATAAATATATGGAATGATACTTTTTATATTAGGATAATGGTACAGTGTTTCCCTCACCTGGTAAGAATGTGTATCTCGTCTAAGCTCACAATGGCTTCCTGTTGACATATCATCAACATCTGTTCTTTTTCCTGTTACAACACTAAAAATTTACAAAACCTCTTGCAAAACATTCTTTCATCCCCTTCCCCACCCCACAATCCAGATTACCAGAAATCTCTATTGGGATAAAATATAACTGGTCAGCCAACACTGACAGTGGTGCAAGATGCTTAACTAGTTGCATTAGAATGGAGTGTGATTTTGAGAGAGAGGCAACTTTTTTTTTTTTTGCTTCCTACTTTTTGTGTTTTGGAGGCGATACACATTCGTGTGGTATATATGATGAAAGATTTGCTGTTTTCTTTCTATCCCGGTCTCCAACTGCACCCCTCCTTCCTATCCATTCTAGTATAGTCTCTAGAAATCCCATTCTGGTAAACGATCTTACCTATATTTCCGCCTCTTCCTAATATATTTTTTCTTCTTCTTTCAGCTGAAACTTGATTCCTCCTTGAGAACACTGTTCTCCAGCTGCTCATTCTCCCATACCCCATATAGTTTCGGGTGGGGGATTGGTATTGAAACTGCTGGATTAGTATTGAAAACTCCTGGTGCTACTTTCATTATTTCTTAAGAGTGCTGGAAATTCATTGCTGTAAGGTTTATGTTGTAACATTTGAGTATCTGGGTATACATTTCCCAGTCTTCCTCATTACTGCCACTGATTCCCTTTGTTCAAGCTTCCCTCAATTTTTTTTTGAATTTTAAGTAACCTCTGCACCCAGTGTGGGGCTCAAACTCACAACCCAAGATCAAGAGTTGCATGCTCTACTGACTGAGCCAGCTGGGTGCCCCCAACCTTCCTCATTCTATAAAGACTTTAGCATCGAACCACATGTTAGGCCCATCTATCACCTTAGCTTCTCAATGTGTCTGGACCTCTTCTTCAGCAACTTTTCATTTCCCTGCCATGGCTACACTGTGGACCTTGTTGCCACTAGAGATTGTTCCACTGAAGAAATCTTAAATGCCAATGTCCGACTTTTCTTTTTTTTTTTTTTAATTTTATTTATATATTTGACAGAGAGAGACACAGCCAGAGAGGGAACACAAGCAGGGGGAGTAGGAGAGGGAGAAGCAGGCTTCCTGCTGAGCAGGGAGCCCGATGTGGGGCTCAATCCCAGGACCCTGGGACCATGACCTGAGTGGAAGGCAGACGCTTAACGACTGAGCCACCCAGGCGCCCCCTGACTTTCTTAAGCCTTCTACTCGCTCTCTCATTTCTTTGCACCCACAACACCAATCTGTTATGCTGGTTCTTTAACAACTCCTGTTGCTGTGATAAACTTCCTCATCTCAGACTTAGGGGTCTCATGTCTTCATGTCTCCATGAAACTATGCCAGGCTAACTTACTAGCCTGTGAGTAGGGTAAAACCTCAGTTGAGTTACAGTTCTTAATACCACCTTCCCACACTCCTTGGTGCAAAAGCTTTGGAGTTTTCCTAAGGTTTAAGTATGAAAAAGTCCTGAGTCCATTTTAATCCTGAAGGATCTATACTATGTGGTGGCATGATACTTCATTCTAATTTAGGTATTCCAAATGTATCCAGAGAAATTTTGTGGCCATTCTAGCATGAGAACTGAGAGCTGGAATGTCACCATGCCCTCAGTTTACCACACTGGATTATAATACTATGTATACTTAATTTCTGATTTTATTTTTTTGTTGTTAAATAACATATTTTGCATGATTTCAGTCCCATAGTATTTAGTGAAATTCATTTTATGATACTTAGTAAATGTTCTTTGTGCACTAGAATGTTTGTGCATTCTATGTTAGTAGTTATCTCTGGTAATATTTTTGCCTTAAAACCTACTTTATTAATCTAGCTACCCTAGCTTTCTTTTGATTGTGTTAACATGGTATATCATTTTTCATCCTTTTATTTTTAGCTTCTTTGTGGCTTTATAGTTAAAACAGTTTTCTTATAGGAAGCATATGGTGGCTCCTGCTTTTTTTTTGAATCCAGTCTGACCATCTCTGCTTTAATTAGAG